TCTGCATGCTAAAGTAGTAAGGTTTGCTGGTGCACTACAAGACGGCTGCATGGCACACAGTTAACATGCCGTTAACCTTTAGCATAGATTAAGTGAGACTAATGGGAAGGGTTGAGTCATATGAAGACATGTTGTTTCCTTAAAGGTTAACCCGACTGTTATTTGATCCTTAACTGACTCCAATCAGGCCAGGACACCAGACCTCTCACCGTGACCAAACACCTCCTACATGCTGACATCTCGGTCTAAAAACACCCTGAACGTGAGCTAATAAGCAGCTAGCCTGTCCCAGCGTGTCCAAACGGACATGTGACAGTATCAGGTGCAGATTGTGAGCGATCATCGGTGTGTGTGTGTTTGCAGAGGGGAGTTTCTGACTTCCAAACTGGCTCGTGTCCCGGTCAGTTTAAAGACCTTTGTGTGCAGCAATTTGGTGAAAATAATGGGAGTTTGCCCTCGTCTTTGTGAGCAAGATAAATGACTTCCAATTAGCCAAATGTGACCTGTCGCTGTGGACACAGGCCGTGCTGATGTTATTACTGTTGTGCAGCCATTCAAATTTAATATGAAATTTCAGTAGCTGACAATTACTTATTGTGAGGTTTTTATGATAAATTGCCTGCATTAATGAACCTTGCACTGGAGGGCAGCTGGCACAGTTTAACAGTCTCTCTTATTAAAAAAGGAGGAAGAGATAAAGAGGCGGAGAGGGAGGAATTAAAATCACCTGAAGAGAAGATTCTGGAAATCTGACAAAGAGATCTGTGAGGATAAGAGTTTATAACGGGGGAGAGTTATTAGTAATCTGTGTGTTTCATATCATTGGCTGTTCTGTCAATGATTTACTACTTTACAGCAGCTGTTGAGGACACTAACTGCTGTGAATTTGCTCTTTGGGGCGAGTAATGAAAAGCAAACAAGCTCACAGAGAGCAGCCTCAGATTGACTCAGATATTCCTTCCCTCTTTCCTTCCTTACCTCCTCCCTTCCTTCCTTTTCTTTGCCCAAATGATCTGAGGTTTGGGTCCAGATCCTAACATGCCCCCAAATCTCATGATCTTGTACTTCTCATCTTCAGTTTGGCAGCCTCAGAATCCAGTCCCAGTTCTTTGCAGATGATGTGGTTCTGTTCGTGTCTTCAGCTGTGACCCCCCACAGTCATTGGGGGGGGAGTGAGTCTTCACCCCCAGTAAGAGAGTTCAAGTTCCTCAGGGTCTTCTCCATGATCGGAGGTAAAGGCATAGCTTACGATTTGACTGTTGACCTTTGTTCAAACCCTTACCTACAGTCATGAGCTATGGCCAAAAGAACGACACCCCACGCCTGAAATGAGATTCTTCTGGAGGGGGTCTGGGATCAGCTTCGGAGACCTTGGACACCCAGAGGGAGCTCGAAGTAGAGCCACTGCTGCTTCACATCAGCTGAGGTGGTTCAGGCGTATGATGAAGATGCCCCCTGGTTGCTTCCCTGTGGAGATGTTCCAGGCGTGTCCAACTGGGAGGAGACCTCAGGACAGACCCAGAGCTCGCTGTAGGGATGATAAATCCCATCTGGTCTGGGAATACCACAGGATCCCACAGGAGAAGCTGGGAAGAGAGAGGTCTGGGTTGACTTGTTGAGACTCTTCCCCCAACTTACATTTCCAATGAATCATGCCAAGACTCTAAATCCAACAGGAAGTCCACCATTTTGATTTCCAGGGTGTATATGTGAAGGAACAGGTGGAACAGCTCTGGTCTGATCAGCTCCTACAGTGGTCCGTGTTTTATAGATGTAACCAAACTCAATGGCGGCTGGTTGGTTCAGTAAACCTGGAAGGATGAGCAGCCGGCTTGTTTTGTTGTTTATGCTTCTATTGATTATCTGAACAGTGACAGAATCAGCACCGGTCAGTCATACAGTCACACTTTACGATTTCGGCTCTGAAGCTAACTAGCATACGGACAAATTAGTGCTTACAGGTGACCATAACCCAGTCAGTCAATGCTAACTTTGATAACAGTGCTTTTAGAGTCCGTAACATATGAATACAGATGTTTTTATCCACAGTGCTGTATTTGGCATTATTTACCTCGGGCATGTCTTGGCTGCCTGTTGAATATGTATAATATGACTGAGAGAGGGCGCCCCCTAGAGCCACACATAGTGGTAGTGCCACCTATTGGAAAGAATCAGCAATAACTCAGTTTTATGCGATAATGAACTAGCTTCAATCTGTACACGTTTATTTACACTTTCTTTTTGATTACCCCTGCTAACTTACCTCCCACCACCACACTCTACCACCTGATTTCTGAATTTCAGAATAAAAGACAAACCAATCTTGTCTCTAATAATCTCATTTTACTTTGCAGATCACGGAGAGGTATCATCATAAAACTGGGAGTGATTTAAAGTCTGTTAAAAACTCCTCATAGTGTCTTAAAGCCACATTACGAGTGAAAATATCAAACCATGACCTGTTACTTCAACTCGAATCTTCATATGAGAAACATTTGACTGGGCTTTAATCTATTTATACTAATGAATCAATCTGCAGCTGTCTTGACCTCGTTAGTCTGAATCACAGCCATTAAAACGTGAAAAGATTTTGATGATCTGGTTCTGAATCGTAATGCATGAATGGTTTATTTGCATTCTGAGAGATTAATCTGACAAAGTGAGATAACATTCGCGACGAATGGTTATAAACGGCGGCATGCTAAACAGTGTGCAGAAGAAGAGTCTCACTCTGACAGACTACACTGACCCCTCAGGCCTTTTGGATTTAATGTGCATTTACTAGTCTGATTGCTTGGATGTGTTGACTTGTTACCTGAGACTTATTTATGTACCGTCGGCTCACATAGCCCAGAGCCGAGAAACAGATTTCACAGAGCAAATCTAACCTCTGGTTTGTGCAGCGGAGGTGAATAACCTGCTTATGAATAACTGAAACTGTTCCCTCAGGTAAGTGAGATGTACGGACAAACCACGACAGAGACGAAGATGATTTCTAAAAGGACGTCAGAGGCTGCAAATGAGAAATCAATACACCCGAAATCTATCAGAGAGGTTCTGACCATTACACGGAGATGATCAGATATATAAGTTTGAATTAAAGATAAGAAACATACATTACTGTGGTGTTAAAGTCAGTCTAGGTATGACCTTTTTTAAAAGAACAGTTGCTTTGACTTACCTGTAGAAGCCGTTTATTGTCGTGTTAATCATGACTTCGTTTACATTCATGTGTGGTCCCATTGAGCAGAAATTGGACCTGCGCTTTCATGAGACCTGACAAGTTCCTGCAACCTGCCGCCTCTTATTAATCATGATTCAGCAGCGTCTCAGATTCCTCTCTCACATTATGCATTCAGTCCAGCAAATATTTTTGGAGGCGACAATTAAAACTGGCAGACTGCTGGGAGGCGAATTATTCAATTCTGATTAATTTCTCTGCTGACGCTCAAGACATGCACGACTGACAGCAGAGACTTATATCTGCCGGTTCAATTTGATGAACTTTTAATAATTGATTTTATTTTTCAAGCCAGAAGTTTCTAAAGCTCTAATGTGCAGATATTTCAAATTCTCCCTTTTGCAAAAACAACATATCAAAATCTGAATATTCTGCTGTTTAATAAAAACAATATACTGTGCTCTTTTAATTTGATGCCAACAACACGTTTCAAGAAAGGCCATGGAGGTACAAACATAAAATAAACAGGTGCTAAAAAAAAAACTAATCTCCAACAGGTTAGTCACATGACTGGGTCTGAGATGGACATTCAGAGAGGTGGAGTCTCTTAGAAGGAAAGATGGAAGAGGTTCAGGACTCTGTGAGAGACTGTGTGTGCGAACAGTTCAACAGTTTCAGAATAAAGTGAAAGAGTGAGTGGATTTCATCAGCTACAGTCCATAATATCAGTCAAAGATTCAGATGGGTCAAAGGTCGTTTTAGGAATTAATTCCTATTTTTGGGGTCATTTTTGATGCAGATGTGGGTAAGAAAACACAAAATCATTTATCAGGGTATCAGGGATACAACAGACTGATTTCTAAAGAGCGGATGATACAAGGGTTGCACGAAAATCCAGGTGGCAACCCTTCAAGATGACGAAAAGAAGTGTTTTGTGTTAGGGGAGAGACGGGTGAGATGATCCATTTTTCATATTTCGGATCAGTCCATCAAGTCAATCCTAGTTCTGTCTCTAACTCATGTATCTGCAGATATTTTAGGATGTTGTTCATCCCTGCAAACCAACAGAATGAGTGTAAACAGAACTGTCTTGACAATATAGCATGCTAAAAAAAAGGGGGTCTCCTATGGTCAACTTACCCCGTGTATGGGAGCGGGGTAAGTTGAGCCGTATCCCCCCACTCTCCACCCCAGTCCTCCCTCACCTTCTCTCTCTAAATAACAGTCACTTCTTCACATTCATGTGTATTTTTATCTTTTATACACTATTCAACTAAAAGTCAAACATTTCAACAATCTGATGGTAAACTCTGATCCTCTCATCAGACTCCTTTACTTTCTCAGTTACCCCTGAACCACTATGATGACTTTATTAGTCCTTCAAGATAAAATGGTGGACTTTTATATTAGGTATTTGACCTCATGTTGTAGCTCATAGATACCACAACTGATATAGAAAACGAATTTAAAATGATCTTTTTTTCTAATCAAACTTAGGACAGACTAAATTCACTTTACAGCGGGAATTTTTTTTTTTCAATAAATGTCTAACCTCTTCTTCACCCATGAGCTTCTAACCTTCACAGACTCCATGAATTGATGCCCATCAATATTTGGTCACATGATCAATTTCTTTTAACTTTTCCAAGAAACAGGGAGTGGCTCAACTTACCCCACTCTTTTCTGTTTAACACAAAAACAACAATGACTGAGGCTTTTAAAAACTGCGTATTTATAATGGTCAGGAATACAACAAACTGAGTTCTAAACAGTGGACAACACAAGGGTTACATGAAAATCCAGGTGATTACCCTTTAAGATGGGAAAAATCCGTGTTTTGTGGGACTTCCACACCTACCCAGCTGTGGTGGGACAGAGGCCGCCTGAGCAGCACTGGGCGGGGGGAGGAGGTGTGGCTCCACCCCGCTGGTCTGCCCGGTTGTTGGTGAACGCGGAACTGCTGCTGTTGAGCTCCATCTCTGCAGACAGGAAAGGAAAAGACAGAAACCAGCGGAGACGACAACATTTGAGACCGAGCGGAGCTTCTGCAGACATTAATGTGAGTCTCAGTTCTGCTGTTTGTTTGTTAAAATATTAACATTTATCTCTTTAACGGAGAGGTTAGCTGACCGAGGTTAGCTTGGACTGTTAGCAGACCTTTATACGAACGTTCAATGTTAGCTTAGTAGCTGCTAGCGTTAGCTGCTCTACGACACAACATCTGATAGTTAGATCACTTTTAGTAATTTAAACTCACATTTTACACACATTTACGACTTAGACCAAACATATATGATTAAAAGAAGAGAAAGATGTTAACTAAGTTGTTGTGAGCTGTTGTCATCGAGGTTAACTGGAGGCTAAAAACAAACATTAGAGTCTATTTCACTGGATCAACTTTCAGCATCTTTTTTTATCAAACACAAGTTTTTTAATTAATATCGACACTTTTACCTGCATGTGTTTAACAAGTAACTTTTATATGTTTCCTCTTGACCCTTTTGTGTGGGTTATTTACATCATGCTATAATGAATTTATCTGTCCTGTTTGCTTATATTTATGTTTTTGTCAGTGTTTTACGGCTATAAATGATGTTGTTTGCATTTTCCAGATGAAATTTAGATTTTTTTTAACATCTACAGAAAGTCTTATTCTTCACTTTTCACTTTTGAGTATGATATTTGTTAAATTACATCCCAGTTTGGGGTCATAGAAAGGGCATAAAAAGCTGTTTAAGGTCTTTACAAGTTGATTAAAACTGTTAGTTTGGTGGGAATGATAAAGAAAGCTTTGTCATTGTTTTTTTACAATAATAATGTTTGTCACTGGTGATAAAGCGCATGTATCCCATGATGTTGGGATGCTGTGATATTGAAATCCGGCCCTCAGAAATAGAAGTTTACACCTCTGTCAGGTGGATTTTCTGGATTAACATCCACAGAAAGTAACAGACTCTTATTAGAGATGCAAACTGTAAGTATTCTTAGACTTTTGGAAACTTTAATGATCAGATATCAGTAAGAACTTTGACAAACACGAAACCAAATGGGTCAAATAGCTTTATTTCCCACAGCACCATCATGCATGTAACTGACAGTATTAAGATGTTACAGGACACAGAGAGGTGAACAGATTATTTAACATGCTGAATATCAACATGCAAATCAGGCTCAGACTATTAACTTCTTAGGATTTATAGAGTGAGGCTCAAATTACTAAATATGAAATTGCAGCAACAACAACAAACAAACAAACCTGCAAAGAAAGTGTTTAAGACTGTAAGCGCCCAGTTTTCTCTGTACTTGTTCTTATTTAATAATAATTTAATAAACATGTCTGCATGATCATCACTCTGAGGCACCACCAGGTCTCCATCAGTGTCAGACTCAGAGAGCACAGATGTTACTGATATGCAGACACACTCATGTGAGGACTCTGTCTTTGTCGACCCAAACCCTTTTACCAGTCTGTCATCTCAGCCTGTCGATAGAGGAGCCGTGGCAGAGATGTGGGGCATGACTGCAGCGCCTCGTACCAAAGACAGATGTGGTGTCTGCTGTTTGGACACAGTTTGAGTTTAGTGAGGATGATGCCGATCCAAAAGGAGCCAAATGTGAACACTGCTGATCTGAGTCAACTCTTAAAGCACAGCTGTGTTACTGAATATGAGCAGTTTCTGTCACATAAATAAGACAGGCTGATAAATGCCCAGAAGAGAGTGTCTTTACTGAGCAGCTGTCAATAACACACATTTCCAAAATACTGAACAATATACAACAGAATCACTTTAGTTATTTTAAATGAACAAAAACAAAGACACAGTCCTTCATTAGCTGAAATACACCAGCATGTTTCAGTATATTTACTTTTTAAACACAAACTGAGTGTTAATCATGATAATAATCTGAGGTTATGTCCTCCAGCACAACAAAATATTCAACTTAGTGCCGACAGAAAAAGCCTCTGACCTCAGGCCAAAACTTAACATACTGTCTGTATCTATGAAAGGAAGATGATGCAGAAAAATTATATATATGATGGAGAAGCAATACTTCCTCCGAACTCTCAGGGATAATCCCGAGGAGTTATGAGATGAAGTCTGCAGACGGCTCTCCGTCTGTATTTTCCAATTTTCATGCTAATGTGGTCATTTTATGGGCTTCAATCATTGGACGGAGTTGAGGAGCGGCCTGTAAACAGTCTGACTGATAAAGAAACATGGCTGCCCTCTCTCTCGTCTTCAAAATGGACCTAAAAAATCTTCAGTATGAGGTTTTAAAGCACATGTGTAATACTGAACAATATCAATGAGAACGTTTTTGTCAGTTTAATCAACATTTTTATTCATAATGTTCATATAACTGATGTTGATGTTATATAAAGAGCTTGGTTCCTTTGTGTCCACCTGCAGGCAGCAGACAGTCTGAGGTTATAGACGTGATATTCTCGTTCGGCAGCTCCTGATTGTGAGTCACGACACCGTCAAAGTGGCCCAACCTTTGAGTGTCCAGTATGTTTGCTTTAGTCCCGGGTTAAAATCTCAGACCTGAGTGAAGAGGTCAGATTGAGAGACTTGATGATGAGGGAGGACCTGCGAACTTTCCTGTGCTGCTGGTCCTTTTGGACGATAATCCTCAGAGATCTGCAGTTAAACGTCTTCAAACCGCCATCTTTACTTTTGTTTGGGAGGACAGCTTCAGCGCGGTCTTAAAAACCCGACTTTTACAGCTCCAGGTTGTTCAGGTGACACTTCCAACTCCTTCTTCTGTCTGTTTTTATTTTGTAACACAGTCAGACCAGTCAGTCGGACATGTTGATGACTGAGAATGAAATCCATCGAACAGGTCTCAGGTCAGTTTCAGGTCCCATGTTTCCTCCTCACCAACGTGACCGTGATTCTGATTCTGACAGCCTGCGTTTGAGAAAAGTGAAATCAATAATATCTTTAAAGATAAGGTTTCATGCTTTACTCTGTGACAGAATCTGCATCAGATTTAATGTTGAAGCAGTTTTAAGGTGTAAGAAGAAATACAAGAATTGCATGAGTGACCTTTAAAGTCATCTTATTTATACGTGTCCCAGCAGTTAAAGAACAAAACATGCTGTTATAGAGGGACTGCACACTATTGAAAAAGCTATTATTGTGATTTTTCCCTCTCTATGACGTATTAAACTGTAAAATGTAAAAACATAAGAATTGACACGGCGTGAACACGGCGCTCAGTCAATAATACCAGGGCAGAGATTTTTCCCAGACTGTTAATAAATGAGATGAAGAGTATAAATGATTTAAAACATGTCCTATAAATTAAGGATTAAAACTATAAATAATCATGATCTCAATATTGATCAGAAAAATGATAATCGTTTTAGTCGTTACCGACTCCTGCATTCTTATTCTAACCCTCACAGAGCCGATAGAAGCTCGTTAACGTTTGAATTGATCACCTTTTACTTCAATAATGAACTTTAATTTTCAATAATTCACCTAAATCATTTCCAATCACAGGTTCCTTAAAGTTAAAAAGAGCTGTCTCTCTCAGAGAAGCTGGTTCATCATATTTAATCGAGTTTGTTTGAATGAAGTCTCTCAAAGATGTAAAGTCAGGATGTCGTGTCGCTCCTGTGAAAACAGCTTCATCACTTCCTGCTCCGACCAGAACAGAGTGAACGTCGGCGAGTCTCAGCTGTAAAAATCCATTCCTTTTTGGAGCTCCAAACCTGCCATGAGCAGATCACGGGTCACTCTCACTTTGAAAAGGATGAATTTTAACTCGGCTGACAAATTTTTAAGGCTCAGGAGGACATCAGTTACACAGACCTGAGAGAGGGGGCGGTCCTCCTCAGCGGGCGGCGCGGGGTCAATGAGATCAAGATAAATCAGCTCTGTGCTCCCGCTCTGTTCAGGATCCTGCTGCATTTTCATCACAGAGCGTTGAAACCAAAATCTGATGGAGGAGCTACAGTCGTGTTCAATCCTCCTTTTATTAAAGCGCTCCCTCAGAATCATGTCGAGCTTTAATTAGCAGCAGTGATAACGATTAACCGCCCTGATTCTCCCAGTCTGTGCATCCTTGTTAATTTGATAATGATTTAATATAAATCAGCTGATTTAAACTCCTTCAAACTGCACAGGTGGAGCAGCTCCACACCATCAGGATCAGCGTGGTCGATGTTTCTTTACTGCGTGTCTTTTTGTCTCATTGACTCTCTCTCAGAGGACAGATTTGCATACATTTTTACGGTTTCCCTCGGCGCCCTTCAGTCGCCATGGGCTGCTGAACAGTCCAATTAGCACATGCCATGTGTGTCTTTGTGTTTTTATGAATCGGCCTGACGATGGTGGACTGAATAGTTAAGTGTGTATTGACAGGTGAAAGCTCCGGGCTTCACTCCTCTGTCCTGTCCTCTGAACACACACAGTCGCCGCTCGCCTAATTGTTAATCATCTTAGCGTGACACTGACGAATGAAGCGACGGCTCGGTCCAAAACCAAGTTCCTCAGCTTAGCTGCAGCGGCTGCAATTATTTTTTTTTTATCATTGCTTTGTGTTGTTGAATAATTCAGGTGTGTGAGGACATTAGGGCTCTGATTGGGAGGGTACAGTTCTGCCTGCAGTGCGGTGTGAAGATCCCACGAGTGCGGCGCCATTATTCTTAGCCTCGCCTCTTGAGATGAGTCTTAATTAGTTTTAAGCCAAATTCTCCAAATCCTTTCTGTGGACCTCTGTGGCTTATGACTGAAGAGAAATGTGAAAAGCAGAGTGTCAGTGGTGCTCCAACTTCTTAAATGTGTGGAAATCCTTTTTTCAGCTTTTGCAGAAATAGACCCAGATCTGCGACATGCTCTGCTGCTGATTTTCTCCTTCACCATGTCATCATGCAAACTTATTCAAGTTCATGCATTCATCTCTCTCTCTCTCTCTCTCTCTGCAGGATGATTCGCTTGCGGGCGTTGTCCGCGGTTACCGTGGGGCTTGTGCAGCAGTCCCGGCGCTTCCACAGCGGGGCGGTGCGAGGGCCCAACAGGAGGAGGCTGATGCTGGCTGCTGTTGCCGGAGTAACGGGAGTTTCTGCAAGTGCTGGGCTGCTCTGGACGAGGTGGGACTGGGGAGGGAACACAGGGGCAATGAAAGAGAGGAGGAGGTTGAAAGACTGATCAGTTTGGTCTGCAGCCTCTGATAATTAATTGATTCTATCAGTTCTCAGTGAAATCAAAAGCTGATCCAGATAATCGTCCAGATGCTGAATATCAGAGGATTATTGTTTCCCCCTGTAGTTTATTAACGACTCTTTTAGATTTGATTTACTGAATGTTTTTAAGGACTTTGTTTGTCCGTCTGATCAAAAAGAAGTTATTGATTTGAAATGATCAGTAATCACCTGTGCAGCAGACGTTGATCAGCTTTTGGGTTTTTCTCCAGTCTTTCTCTTTATAGTTGATTTCTTGAAGCTCCTCTGTTTGCTGTTTTTTATTCACTTCATTACTATCAATTTTCACCGCCTTCAGAACGGCTCAGATCTGGAACAGCCGCAATTTTCGCTGTCCGCCAATTCCTACCAGATCCAATTTTGAGGTAAATTTCATGGTGGATTACAGACAGCAGATTCACATCCAAACGCGTGATAACGAGTTGTCTTTAGCCACATAGACATATAAGCAGTAGATTGTGTCCTTCCAGAGGAGGAAATCTACTTCTAGACTTCTAGAATCAGCATCTCCTCATCCATGGTGTCATCGGGGTGAAATGACGTCTAAAAACCTTTCACTTGTTCGTCTCCGCCCGTTTGCATGGTGTGAAATACGATCGTCCTGAAACATGGAGTGTTTTATTTTGAAAAGAAGCCGGATGTTTTATTTTGAAAAGAAGTCGGATGTTTTATTTTGTGTCTGTGCCCGACTTCCTTTCCAGCACGGGTTAATCTGTGCTGAATTTATCCGCCATGCTCCGGCGTCAAACAGAACTCCTCTGAGGCGATCCGCAGAGGAACGTAAAGAAGTCGGTGTAAATTGACACGTTAACTTGAATGGTTACGATCAGCTACGATCAGAGGATACAACCTTTTAGTAGCCGTTAAGGATGTGGTGGAAATTGGGTGTTAGTGTCCGCTCAGCAGACTTTGGTTGTGATTCAGTATTCGACATAAATTTGTGTTTTTAGCATGTGCAGAAAAATGGATTCTCCTGCAGTGCATATCTGTCAGGGAGGACACTCGGTTCAGTTGCTCACCTCCACTCCTCCTGACATCCTTAGCCCCCCACCCCAAGGGTGTCGCAGTGTTTTTATGGCGATCCATTACTAAGGAGCCCGGTGTTTAGTTAAGGCCGAGCAGTGGAGATGGTGTTGACGTGTGAGAGCTCTACGGGGACGGGGGGGGCTGCTGTAGGAGGCCGAATGATGGATGGGGCCTCGGGGCATCTGAGACTGATGGGACGGGACTGTTCCAGGCCCTCACCCCGAGCTTCAGTCTCCCAGTGTCTCATTAAACTGAATTATTCAGCCTGTCCCACACTGACTCTGCTATTTATGATTATTATTCCAATTTTCAATTTAGTCAGAAAATGGTCAAGTGGGAGTTCACCCCGGTAAACCTCTGCACACACACACACACGAGGAAACAGAGCAGCAAATAATCCCTCTCTCTGTTTTTATGTATCGTATTACAGCTGCAGAGCGTGAACCCGGGTTCTTCTCCGCCGCAGCACGACACAAGAAGATATTACAACACTTAACCTTCTCCATAGATGACAGAGAACCCCCCCCTGAGTGTTAATCATGTCTCTTTACTGAAAACTAGAGTCTACGCTGACGCTGGACCGTCCGTGCAACACTCCGAGCAACCAGAGGCGGCAGAGGGACCCGACTTCGTCAAAGACGCCGATTCAGAGACGGAGGAGGAGAAGTCGATGGAGGCCAGCAGCGGCGATGAAGACGGAAAGGACGAGGGAGGCGAGGGGAAGAAGAAGAAACAACGCTCTGGATTTCGTGACCGCAAGGTAATCAATAAACAATAAACAGTCGGGCTTTCAGTCAGTCCGGTTTTTAATTCAGCTCAGGAAATGTGTTTTGAAAAGGCTTCCCGATCAATGTTCAATATGCAAACGCCGGTGTTTTCGTGACAGCGTGTTTTACAGAGGGAGGCGGTAGGGCAGTGCCGCTGTCATAAACAAACAGAAATGTCCCACCTGTGCGATCGGACCGCTCTTAATTAGGCTGCAGATGACCAGAGAGGAGCCAAAGAAACACACAGTTTGTAAAAGAGGACAAGCTTTAGAACAATAGATGTAATCTTTATCCGGCTGCTCGGTGCAGATGTAAAAATTGGGCAATCACTCTCGACTCAGCAGCGGCCAAAGTCTGCCGAGAGCAGAGAGCGAACTGTGAATCATGGCGCCGCAGGATTCATCGACGCCTCGGTTAAAATAGGTGTTTGTGCCAACCAGGAAAAAGTTTGGAGAGTTTAGAGAGTAGATGTTCACGGGGATGGAAACTTGGAAACAGGGCAGAGACTGAACACTTTTCAATCAATGATTACCTTTTTATATTTATCTTACTGCAAATGTTCATTTTAATCAAAGTTTTTAGTTTTTATTTTATGTCATTTTTTTAATTATCTCCGTTCTTAGTCTTTTTCTTAATTTCCATCTTAGAAGTTTTTACTTCTTTTATTTACTTTACTTTGAAAAAAGATCTTATCTGTTCATTTAAAATTATTCTCTTGTTTCAGTCCATCAGGTTTTACTCTTTTTACCATCTTTATTTTTATCTCCAGTGTTTCCCAAAGGTAGCTCTTTCCTCACATAATGTCTAGATGTCAGGTCATGTCTCTTTAACAATATATCTTAAATTCTCACAATGTGTGCGCTTGTGTGTGTGTGTGTAGTTGGGAGGTTCGGGTTTTATTGTTGTTAATTGTTGTTTTTAGCCTCTGTGAGACACTCTGAACTACATTTCTTTTCTGAAAAGTGCCATAAAAATAAAGTTGAATTGGAATTAAAGTTTGAAAAGATCCAAAATATAGAGATTTTGATGTTTTATGTAAAATATGGACTCAGATTCAACAGGTTAGTCACATGACCGGAGAGGCGGAGTCTCTCAGGAGGAAAAAAAGAAGAGGTTCAGGACTCTGTGAGAGACTGCGTGAGCGAACAGTTCAATGGTTTCAGAATAAATCTCTGTACTAAAGGGACCAGAACCATTTGGAGCATCATGACCCCAAAAACAGACGGACTCTGGAGTGGGAATCACCGCATGGAAAGGACAACTGGACTTAGTTGAGACATTTCGCCTTAGGCCAGTTGTCCTTTTAATAAAGAATTGGAAATTCTAGATGCTGCATCCTCAGTTTTAGACAATATCTTCAGGTTTAGGATCAACATCTGCGTCCATCTAGATTAAGACTTTTTCAGGGAAGACCTTCATTTGATCCCAAACCACTTTCTGACAACAGCATGGCTCTGTAGGAGAAGAGTCCTGGACTGATGTGGTTCTGTGTTGGAAACATTTGGACCATCATGACCCCAAAAACAGGATACTGAACTTCTGAGCAGCTGAAATCCTCCATCAGTCCAGAACAGGACAAGACTTGGCTTTCCAAACTCGACATATATTTGCACCAAACAGAAAAATGTCGACGTTAGATGAATATTTGCTTTAAATAAACCGTTCGCTCCTGTTGTTATTCACATTCTCACAACATTACATCCTTTTCTGAAATAAGTGCTGCTCGTATTTTCAAAGTCGATCGTCTCTTTCTGAATAAAATCTTGTCAAATGCAGAATTACTCAGTTTTTCCTCGAACGCGTCTTTAAAATTCACTTCCACGCTCATAAACAGATTTATCTCTCCACTTTCAGATGTTGCACAACAATTTCTGAAAATTTGAGGGAAACAGAAGAACAAACAGCAGCTGTGAGTTGAATTTAGCAGCCTGTGTTCGTGGATGTGCATTTATAAAAAAACAGAAGAAAGGAAAAGTGTAAATGGATGAAAGCTCTGAAGCAGAGGCTCGACTCTCATCATCATCAGACTGAAAATCTGAGGAGATAAAAGCCAGAGAGGGATGAGGCTGAACGCCGAGCTCTCCGTCAGTCACTTTCCACATGACTGTCCTGTAACCTCTCATCTGGACCCTGATGGTCGCCTCTTCTGGGGGGGATGCTCCCGGTGATTTCCCCAAAGACCAATAACGTGTGCTAAAGAGGGGAAACCAACACAGAGGCACGCACTCACGGCCGCTCTCTCAGGAGGCTTTTCCCGTGTTTCTCACTTTTTCTGTCATCAAGCCGGAGTGGATATCAGCCGCTAAAAGTTGAGGCTGTAAAAGGGATTTTGTGTCTGTGTCCACAGGGAGTTAGTGTGGTGTACACAATCACTCAGCGTCACATAAAATAACCGCCTGTGTGAAGTAAAGCTCCCGAACAGACCTCGCTCTGTCAGGCTGCGTTTGAAGATTTCAGCTAAAAAGCAGATGGTGGTGTCAGAGCAAACACTGACGTGGCTAATGTGTGGAAACGGAGCCCAAGAAACCAAGATCGCTGATTTTGAGATTGTGTGTCTGTGTGTGTGGGAGAGAGGAGAGCAGGGAGAGGAGCAGTTTTATAGATCTCCTCCTGTCACTCACGGCGTCCTGACTTTTACTTCCTGTCTGCCTCACAGGTGATGGAGTATGAAAACAGGATCAGAGCTTACTCCACCCCGGACAAGATCTTCCGCTACTTCGCCACGCTGAAGGTCATCGGCGAACACGGAGACGCTGAAGTTTACATGACGCCCCAGGACTTCATCCGCTCCATCACACCCAACGAGAAGCAGCCTGAGAGTGAGTCCGCTGTCTGTCCCTGCGCCGCACGTCCTCCACACCCACTGTCCGATTATGGAGAGTTTATGCAGCGGCCCTGCTGAATTTTCCCTAAAGGATTTCTGAGCCGAGTTTGTTTATAGTTTTTTTTTCTCTGTTATATAAAAGCAGGTTGTTCACAGAGAGAGGGGTCGAACATTTCCTCATTAATGTCCCCCACCACCCCCAGGAAAGGTGAAGCATGAATAAATTAAACTTAAAAATACCAAGCTCTCCTTTTTAACAGCAAAACACACAACAGAATAAATACATTAAAGCTCCTGAGAAATAAACTGAAATTCATATTGATGCCTTTTTAGGACAGACAAAAGCAAATAAGACCCTCAGCGAGGAGTCTGACCTTTTTATATTCTGTAATATTGAACTTCTGAGGACGGCGAGAAGGGAGGAGTCAGCAAAGAGCCCGAAGAAACAACGACCTGCTTTTACAACTTTCACAGACAGGATTCAGAGTTATGATGATGGTGGTGGGGAGAATGGGTGTGACCGGGTTTATAAATGATTAATCTAAAGGTGTAGATTTCTCCTCATTTGAACCCTGCAGCACGTCTGTTCACCTCTGTAAACTAACAGGTATAAATCAGACTGAAAGTTTAGTTTTTGGTAATAATGAGCCAATAATCAGTGAGTTATCTCATCGTCCTGCATCCTGTCGTTGTTTTAGACAAAGTTTAAAAAGAGAAGACCTCTGTTACCTTCATTTACTTTCACATCAACAGACACACAGATTGAATCTCTACATGCAAAACATCAGAGATCACAGCTTCTGTGTAACAGGCAGAAGTTCGACTGTGTTTTCAGCATCCCGTCACATAAACCAGATAAAAAGACCTTTTCCTCTGCGGCTCTCGGTGCTCAGAGGAAAAATTATCTCCATCCTGGAGATAATATTTGGACCTGGTTTGTCCAGAGGAGTCCCCAGAGTGGACACAGTCTGAAAGCTCCTCGTATTTGGTCTCATTTATTAAACACCTGATTCATGAACGTAGAAGAAAACCCAGATTTCAATGATACAAACCCCGCCCACAAATAGCCAGTGATGACCATATAAGAAAGTGTGAATGAGTTCTTGCTCACATGCAGATATTAACTTCATTTTGATGAAGTGAAATAAAAAAAAAATAATTTAAAAAAAATTTTCGTCTGAGCGATCTCCAGAACTCTGTCACTGCGCTCTAACAGTCTGAGTCCCTGTGTGAGACTCTTATAAACCAGCTCCTGTGTGCTGTGGTGGGTCAGCACATCATCACTCTGTTATGAATATAGAAAAGGTCAGAGTAAAGATTAAAGATGTGATTTTTAATGGTTAAGTTATATTGACGTGAACTCTCAGGAGCAGGTGAAGCTGTTGTTGGAAGATACGATCAAACTGGAGCTTCTAAAATATTAACAGACGTTTGATTATCTTCTTTAAGCCGCCTCCTTCATAAACAGGAAGTCTGAACTAAACTAGCGTATAAATTCATGTTCCAGCTCTTCATTTCTTGTTTTGACTCGATAAATGTTTAAAGTGATTCTGCGCCTCATTGGCGGTCTAAACGCTCCGGTACGCTCCGTGCAGGTGGTGAACTGTCGTCACTGTTCAGGGTGAGATGTTCCAGCGTCACCCAACACCCCCCCACCTCCCCCACCCAGCGGCAGGGACACTTGGCAGCTCAGACCCTCCGACGGTTTGCGGTATAATGATCTCTCTGCCCGTGTTTACAAGAATGAAGGGAAGGCGAGGGGGGGTGGCAGAGCGACAGCGCCGGCCCGTCACGCTGAGCCGAGGGAATCACAGCACAGCAGTTGGTGCATCAATTAACGGGTTCAAACCAGAACAGATCTCAGGCGTCACACTCGCAGCCACCGCCAGATATTTGATCTTCAGCCACGGGAGGCGGCGAGCTTAAATCAGCCTCTCTCTGGTCTGTCTTTGTCATTAACCTGCTCGCCGACGTGAAAACGCAGATACGTTCGTGTGAAATCTGATGGTGAGGGAGTCGTTCAGCTGCCGTCGCTGCGCTGTGGGTAGATCTCCTCACCAGCACTCAGGGCTTAATCAGGACTGACCTGGACTCGTCACGTCCTCACTGCGTTTCCTGCTCACCTCAGTACTTCCTTTGTTACCTTTGCTCAAGACTCACCCACTTTAGGCTCCATTTACCCTCCTCCAGTCCCTGACCTCGAACCTCATGAACCGTCTCAGTGACACCCAGCTCTGACCTTTAGTAGACTGAGAAACGGTCAGTGAAGCAAATGAAACGGAGGACAGTCATCTCACAGGCGGTCTTCACTTCCTTTTACTACTTTCATATAATAAACTCCTGATACAACCCCACTCAGAAAAATATCACTGTGAGTGAAAACACGACTCAACAACAACTTCAAAATGACTCTGAGAACATTGAACTTTTACAGAGATGACTGATATCGGGGTTTTTTTGGGGGCTGAAAACCAACACTGAACGTTAAAACTGTAAATAAAGTTAAATCTAATCTAAACTAATCCAAACTAGTTTAGTTTGTGAGCGAGACAAATGATACCTGGAACCAACGAGCGATTTAGTTTCTGTCAAAATTCATAATTAGGAAGATTACAAACTCAGAGACAAAACTTAAATAGGGCTGGGCGATATGTCCTCAAATCAGTATCACGATATATCGATCAGTTCACCTCGATAACGATAAATGGACGATAACTACTCCACAAGCTGCTCACCCCCTCCCACATTAACTTCGTCTACTTCAGCCGCTCCAACTTTCTCTCCGTCCTCCATCTCCTCACCTGGAGTCACGTCTCTGATGTAGGACAGCGTCTTAAAGGGACATGAGACCATAGCCTACCTACACACATCCAAAAACAACTTTGATTAATTTAGTTTTTGACACCGAATATACCGATATGGGTAAAATGACGTCGGTTATTGTCATAAATCTCAGTATCGGTAAATTTTCAGTTTCTCGCCCAGCCCTCTTCGATTCTGTGGTGATTCGTCAAAACTGAAATTTCCAACATGCACACCTGCTCTCCTCTCTCCTCCTTCTCCTCCTCTTCTTTCCTGCTCCTCTCCCTTTTGATCTAAATTCAGTAAATCATCCTGAATTTCCGTTTTGCTCTTTCATTTCCCAGAAAACTCTAAACACGTTCATGTCTGCTGGAAAATCTGGTGTGTTTTTGAGGTTTTCCTCTCCACAGATCATCCTGGACTCTGACACGTCTCCTGACTGCTTCATTTATTAGTTTCCTCCCCTAAGAGTGAGAAAATCGTCGCCACATCAGGGTTTATTTGTTTGAATCCCATTAGCGGTGAAGTGGGATTGTTTGTTTATGGGAAAATTCATAAGTCATGTTTGAGGTGCATTTGATTAGGATGAGAAAAATAAGAGATAAAATCAGGTTTGAGGTTCGTCTCCACAGCAGGGAGCAGAATTACATTCTGAATTAATGTGTTTGCAAAGGCAGACATGACACTGAAATCAACTCGAGTGGAGATGACTCACTCTCCAGTGATTCATATTTACGCCTCAGCAGAGTCATTAATCATCCAGATAGTGACAGTGATTTCAGGCTGAGACACCTTCAGATACATACATTTATATGATGTATGGGAACATGTAGAAACACAAACAGGACTTAGTGTGTTAGTGTCAGAGTGAAACAGCGTCAGGCTGAGAACTCGACTCTAACTGATGGAACCGAGAGTGGGAGCTGAACGCCGATAATCAGTTATTTTAAAAGAGTTAGAAAAATGGAAATGGGACATTAATGACTCTTATTAATCTCAAACTCACGACAGTGATGATCACCAGACGTTCAGCGATGACGGCGTGTAAACACGATTTCTCTCCCTTATGCTCGGTATAAATCTCACCGCTCCTGCTGGGGAACCACTCAGCCTCATACCTTATTGATTATAAAATTTGTTTTTTTTTTAATGATGTTTTGTTGTTTCTTTCTGCAGGTCTCGGCCTGGACCAGTTTGTTGTGAAGCGCTATGATGGAAAGGTAAGAAGAGGGCGTCCTGGTGGGAGAGGGGAGGTTAGTTATCCAGGAGGTCAGCTGCAACATTAGGTCCTGGACGCTGTTCTCCTGCTTCTTTAATTCAGTTTAAAACATTTAAAAATGTTTACAAGAATATTCCAAAGAGATGTTTTTTATAACATTATATTGTTTATTTTCCTACTTGACAAATTTCCCTTAATTGGCTGTTTCCCCAAATGTCAAAAACGACTCAGAGACGCAAAAAACAAACAGTGAACAGATTTTTCTCCTTTATTGTTCCAGTTACTCGGTTTATGACAGAAAAAAGAGGGAAAACTTTCAACAAATGAGCCTTAAAGGGTTTAAAAGTCAAAACAAACACAAAAACCGTATAAAGTCATAGAAGTAGCTTATCGGCTCTTAATGAAATAAAACTAATTCCCTCTAAAACTCCTACCTCTGATAAAAAGTCTGGACGCTGGTTTTAAATGAGTAATGTTTTTCAAACCATTTCAACTTTTAAAATAGTGCAGAGACAAAAGATGGACAGGTTCGTTATTTGGTTTAAAATATGCTCTTTTAAAATTTGATGCTTAAAACATGTTTTTAAAAAGGAATAATGGGGAGAATCTGATGAAATCTCTGGACTAAAAGAACAGGATCTGTAGAGACTGAACTCAAACGGACAGACTCTGTAGTGGGAATCACTGCATCGGCTCAAAATCCCTTCTATAAACCGTCACTTATGAGCCCACTTATGTTGTCTCTGACGTATTTTGACTCTAAGGGTTTAAATTACCTGAAACTCTTTTAAATCTGTTTTTGTCTCATTTACTCAGTGTTCAAACTTTTTTATGAATGAACAATGAAAGTGAAAAATATGAATTTGGTTAAAAACTTTGAGAAACAGACACGTCTCCTAAATCTCTTCAAAAACAGACACATCGAAGATTTTCAGGAGAAAACAGTTTAGAGAAAAAAAAAAACAGTTTCATTTAAAAGTGTCAAAATTCTTTCATCCTGTTACCTGTTCAGTGTTTTTCTCAGAAGTCAGTCCCTTATCCTTCCTGATATTATTCAGATAAAAATTAAAGCAGAAAACTTTGACACCTTAGAAGGAGAAGCTTCATCTCCAGGAGAGACTGAGAGGTTTTTATGAGTCCAAGACTGAAAACACGCAGAATAAAGATTCACACTCAGTTTCCTGAGAGTGTGAGCGCGCTCTTAAATCAGCGCTGAGGTGTGACTCAGAGAGATTATTACTCATCTGCTCACGCTGCTCACCTCTGTGAATATATCTGTTTATTGTAAATGTGCCTTCTGCTGAACCTCCGTCCTTTTGAGCGTGATACTGTACACATAATAATAATAATAATAACCAGATGAAATCCTCCTGTGAAATAAAAGCTTCAGTTCAGTCGCTTTATCTCCCACTGAAGAAACAGATAAGTGGAGCTGAGTGATGTTTAAACGGAGGTGCTGGTTTGATGTCAGGGGGATAAGTAAACGCTCAGAGGGACGTTGAGGTTACAGAATCCTGAAATACGACACACCAACGATAAAAACCTGAAAACATCTTCATTCAGAGGGATCAGAGAGAGTTAGTGCAGATTTCAGGGTCTGATATGTTGTTGTTTGTGCACACTCTCGTGCACGCCTCTGTTTCAGGTGTAATGACTGATTTTGATCCACTTTGTGAATGTTTTTAAAATGTTGTGTCGACTCATTGAACCCTGAAAATGACGCCTCTCTCTGCTAACGTCTTGCTCTACTGTCTGTTTCTGAACCTTTTACTCTTTTTAATCTCCAATCAGACGAAACGCCCAAAACTTCTTAAAGGGGAATAGAGACATAGTTATTTTCAACCTTAACAGAGTACTAACCCACCTGTCTTTAAGTATTCATTAGCTAACCAACATTAAAGCTATCCTGTTACACAAAACAGCCTCACACTTAATCAATGAGACCAGCACAGACCTGCCCGCTGAGTAATGACCTATTTAAAGACAATAACAGCAGGTGGTCTTCGCACGGGCGGGTCCACGTCGCCTCCGAGGGTCTGTGAAAGGAGCCGGTCCCCGAGCGAAACATTTCCCTTCTCCCGGTCAGGAAAATTGAAGCCATCAATACGAATCACCAACATCATTATTCTCATTACTGCTCTCATGATATCGACCGCTGACCGGGACTGCCCTCATGCTGATCCCAGGGAGCATCCCGCACACCCAGCAGCCCAACAGCCTCATTCATTTATTCAGTTAGTATTAGCTGATCATCAGTTAGGCGCTGATTGGAGATTCTAACCTCGTTACAGAAACCATCAGGTCCCCCCGCGGCTCTGCACCCGTCTCCGTGTTACACAGAGAGAAAGAAAGAAAGAAAGAAAGAAAGAGCTCTTTGATGAAACAGAGACTGAAGCAGAGTTTTCACCAAAAGGACCTCCTCAGAGGACTTTAATAGTTCTCTGTCATGTTGTTGTTTGCTGGAACTCCCTAAAGGGGTCTTAAGGGGGGGGACGAAATTCAACAACATGAACCTCAGACCTCCTAATCAATCAGAACCCACAGTGTGATGATCAATCAGAAAAAGGCCGACCCAAGACCAACTTCAGGATAAAAGAACTGAACACGCAGTAGAGCCGACCAATAAGTGAGCGCAACATCATTACAGTGCAAATCATGGTGCAGCTAACCAAGCTGACATCATTAGAGTGCAACTCACTAATCTGTCATAAATGAAAGTGCAACTCACGGTGCAGCTAACCAAGACTAAAGAACCTAAACGCGCAGTAGAGCCGATCAATAAGTGAGCGCGACTCGTGGTGCAGCTCACTAACCTGACATCCTCAAAGTGCAGCATATCACCCAACATCATTACAGTGTAAATCATGGTGCAGCTAACCAAGCTGACATTGTTAAAGTGCAGCTCACGGCGCAGCTTACCAATCTATTATAAATGAAAGTGCAACTCACAGTGCAGCTCACTAAGACTAAAGGAACTAAACGCGCAGTAGAGCCGACCAATAGGTGAGCGCGACTCTTGGTGCAGCTCACCAATCTGACATTATAAAAGCGCAACTCAAGGTGCAACTCACTAATCTGACATCATTGAAGTGTGACTCATGGTGCAGATTACCAATCTGACATCATTACAGTGCATCACACAGTGCAGCCAACCAGTGCAACATCAGTGTAGTGTAATTTACAGTGCAGCTCACAGACCCGACATAGCGGTGCAATTCTTGGTGCAGCTTCCCGACTCGTCGTCAAATCAGAGCCGATGGTTAATGAATAAAGAAGTTAAACTGACCACGAGGTTTCTCTAAACTCAGTTTCTCACTTTTATGTATTAAAGTAATTGAAACTCTTTTAACCAATCACCTCTCAGTTTACTCCTGGTTTTACTGCGGAGCTCGCTGCCGTATAATCGGGACTTTAACCTCCAGGACAAATCTGAACACCCCTCCATATCAGGAGAGTAAGACCCATAAAGCAGATCTTTCATGGGGGTTAAAATAAAAGCCTGAGGATTTTCTGAAAGCTCTGGTCCCTGTAGTGGAGACCCACTGAGTATCTCTAAACCCCCCACAGACCCTGAGTGTAAGGAAGCAGCTTTATCCCTCTGTTATCTGAGAGGGCGCCCCCGAGTTAGCTTCATCTCTGTTTCAAAAACATCCAAACGGAGATTTTTGTGTTTTACATCAAACCGAGCTAAACGGGAGATTCTGCGTTGGCTCTAAACCAGGATGCAGCTCTCTTTATTTACGCTCGATGTAAATGTAAATGTCGCCTGTATCTCTGGGCCGCCTGCTTCCTTTATTTGCCAGGGAAATTTATGAACACATGATTTCTCTGATACTGTATTTAGCTTCTGTGGTCCCCTGAGATTTCCCTGAGCTCTGGCTGCGCTCAACATTTCCTTTCTTCTGCCAGGAAACACGTGCCTTCCCCTCATCGGGTTAATGGTCCCCCCTAGCTAGCAGGAGGAATAAACCATTACGGGTTCCTTCCAAGAAACCATGAAATCTAGTCCACATGAAACTTAAAACTGCGCGGACTCGGACCGAGATGAAATGGACCCAGAGAGTGTAGTGGATCAGTATGTGCGGCGTGTAAATCATGAAGTAGATGGAGGGTGTGGTGAAGTACAAAGGCAGTGCTTCAGCTGGGGGCTGGGTAGTAAAACGCTCTGAAGGTCAACAGCAGAGGGGAGTACGCCATTGTAACATGAGAGCGCTCTGTGTCACACTTCACCTGGTTTTATTTAGAAACAGCCAACCTGCTGAGAGAGTCACAGTCACAAACGTACAGAGAAGAGTCTAAAAATGAGTCTCAAACAGACACGCACACGCAGCAGCTTCAGTGGAAACAGATTTATACCCGCGGAAAAATATACGGAGATAAAGTCAAAATGTAAAAACTGGACTCTCCTTCGTCTAAATCAAACTGAATCAGAAACACAAAGAAGAAAACTTGACCTCCTGTAATCTGAGCTCACACAAAACAACTCCAAACTTCCTGAAGTCTCCACGCCAGAGCCCGTACAGTCATTAGTCCGTATTAGAGATCCGTATCCAGCATGATAATGAGCTGGACGTCCTTTTGGGGTAAAATACTTACTCTCATGCCTCAGTGCCGTCTGCATCAGGGAAGGTCTTTAACCCCGAATTTCCACTGCGTCCGGAACAGCTCCAGTCTGGAACGGTGGCAATTTTCGCCATCCACCAATTCCGAGTTGTCTCTATAAAGACAGACACATAGACATAGAAGAAGTAGATTGTGTCCTTCCAGAGGAGGAAATGTCTATGTCTAGACTTCAAGTATCAGCATCTCCTCATCCATGGTGTCATCGGGGTGAAATGACATCTTTTAGTAGACGTTCAGGATGAGGTAGAAATTGGGGGTAACACTCTTTTAAGGCGAAACGTCCCAAGTCAGTCCAGTTGTCCTTTCAACGAAGAATTGGAAATCATAGATGCTGCATCCTCAGTTTTAGACAATATCTCCAGGTTTAGGAGCAACATCTGCGTCCATCCAGACAAAGATGTTTTCAGGGGAGACCTTCAGATGATCCCAAACCAGATTCTGACAACAGTTGAAATGTGGAAATGTAGAACTCTTGTGATCAGCTGAGGAGTCCGGCGATCCGCAGAGGAACGGAAAGAAGTCGGTGTAAATTGACACGTTGACTTGAATGGTTACGATCAGCTACGATCGGCGGATACGACCTTTTAGGAGACGATCAGGATGCGGTGGAAATTGGGGTTTAGGGGCGATGGTCTCCTAAGGTGTACCGACTCAAAGATAAGGGTCACATGTGTGCGGTGATTTGTGTAACATCAGACCTGAAGAGGCGTTTCCTCGTGTCTGTCCTCTTGATTCATTTCCTTCCTGTGTTTCCTTCTCTCCTCATCACGCGGGCGCTCTTTAAGCTGCAGTAATCTTATGTTGATGTGACCTGACGCCGCCGCCATTGTTTACTCCTGATTATTCTGTGGTGCTCTTATCAGCCGCCCTCTCTCATCCTCATAACGAGTAATCCCTCCATCTTCTCTCTCCTTCCTCGTAAATAACCGTCATCCTCAACGACTCATCTCCAAAAAAAAAAAAAAACAAACCCTAATTTTTCTCTGTCTCCTCCCCCCGATCATCTCCATCTACTGATCCCCGTTCTCCACCCACACACTCCCCGCCCCCTCCTCTCCTCTTCTGTCTCCCTCCCTCCCTCCCTCCCTCCTCATCTCCTTCCCTTTCTGCCCCTCCCTCTCTGCAGGACTTCTGGCAGGTATGGGGTGTGTGCCGAGCAGCATGTGTGCACCTGAATGAAAAAATGCACTAAGTAGTCACTTCCTGCTCCTTCTTCCTGTTTACACTTCTTCTTCTTCTTCTTCCTCTTGTGCCTTTCTTACTCTCTCTCTCTCTCTCTCTCTCCCTCCTCTGTATTAATATGGAGGGCTCAGCTTTCACTGCTGTTAGTCCAGGGGAACAGCTTAATAAGTACTTGGACTGTATTTACCACATCTCAGCTTCAGCAAGTTTGAAACCAGAGTCACGACCTCCATTAAGTTTAAGAGCGACGAGGATAGGACACCGTCCAAAAAGTGCATTAAAGTGTTCGTTTTCGGCCGAGACACCGACGTTCAGGCTGTAAAATGTTAAATTTATATGAAGGAGGAAAGTGCTGTCGGTGTCGTACAGACAAGCAGTTTTATCGAGGAAGTTCAACGCTCATCTAAAAAAGTGAGGCGCTGTTTGACGCGTTAATTACGGCTGGATTTGATGAATTCACTTTATATTTAGTTTTTAAAAAGTGCAAATCAACATATCAGATTATGAACATTAAATAACATGATCTTAAAAAGTTTCCAGACGAGTAAAAAAGTTGTGTCATGCTAAAAAAACCCGCTGGACTCTGGAGTGGAAATCACGTCATCGGCTCAGAATCACTTCAGAAACCACTGAGTTGAAATCTTAGACTCTGTGTCTTCTTTTCTAGAGAGCAGAGGGACTTCCTGGTTCATTATCAGCTTATATTAATAACATAAAATACGACAATAGAGGAAAAACCTTGAATATTCATATTTACAGTCTGTTTCCATAAGTATAAGTAACACACACGATGTTAAACATGCCTGACAGAACTGTTTTAAAATACTTTACTGACCTCAAACATATTTCAGCTTCAGGATGTGATATATTGACTTTGCCTGATTTAATCTGATTATAGACTTTGAGTGATTTTCAGACCTCCAAACTCGGCTCCCTGACTTGAGTTCAGACTGAGAGTATTTCTCTGTTTGTGTGTCACCGTCACAGACGGCGCCGGCCTCTGAAGACTGGTTTAACACAGCGCTAAAGTCCATTATACTGCAGATAACCCCGGGGCCTGTGTCCACGCTGAGTCTCCTCGCTCAGAAAAGTATTGTTTGAGGTTGTGCACAAACTGGAGGTTGTCGCCTCTCGTTGTTTGTAGGGATGAGTTTCATCGTCCCCTCGCTCGGTGTCCGTCCTGACGGCCGCGGGGGAAGAAGTATTTGAGTGTATGAAAAATTCTGCTTGATAAAATAATCATGAAATCTCCTCGGAGCTGGACGGACAGAGAGCTGACGTTCGGATGGAGCTTTGATTATCTCTGCCTGACCTGTCCTAAAACTGTAAACTGTACAAAATGGAAGAGACATCCATCCGTTAACATGGAGGAGGCGGAGCTTTACGGCCTTTTCTCCGTGTGTTTACATGCACCGTTAAATTGAGCTCGATTAGCCAATTAAATCGACGACTGTCCTCTGAAGGCCTCAGGCAAGAATCCATTTATTGACAGAAGTGTGTCAGTCGCTGCTGCAGAGGGCGGCGGCGTGCCCCCGAACGGCGACCTTCTATCGTCCCACATACTGAATTCATGGACCAGTAATTTAGCATAAATATCAGCTGATAAAAATATTGACCTCAGAAATCACCCTGAGGTTCAGAGCTGCAGAGATGTCCGACACCTCGCCGTGGACAAAACCTCGAGGGCAGTTTGAGTCTGATTGAGATGAAATCCAAACGGCATAATTGTAAAAAAAATACTTATTCTTAAAGCCGTTTCAGCTTCACTGTTGGGGAGGTGTTGTGTCGTCCATCTTTCTAAAAACATGGACGCAGTGAGGTTTAGCTCACCTGTTATTCACTCTGTTCCTAAAGTGTTCATTCTCTGTAACTTATGATTAAAAAGGACACGATGACGGTGAGTTCAGGGAGTTTTTAAGCTGATTTAACAGTTTTTCATGTGGACACAGACCCTTTAATCTGCTTTTTATCACTCTGACCATTTTTAGAGAAACTTTAAAAATAGATAAATAGAGTGACGCCTGAGAAAAATAATGCATTAAGTGATAAAAAATGCACCTAAACTGTCCTTATGTGGAAAATGACCGACCTGGTGGAGGGAGAATCAGTTTCTGCTCCAGATCTGTTTTTCTCACACACTAGATCTCTCATTTCGCTGATACCTGCTCCGTAAATGTGTCTTAGTTTGATCTTTTTAACATTTATTTGCTTTATTGGATAAACTCAAAGTTTTGATGAACACATTTATGTCAGCGGGAGCGGAGAAATGAGCTTTGACCTATAGGTTTTATCTGCTAAATGATTTGGCCTTTAAGCAGCTCTGAACGCCGCCGCCGCCGCCGCCGCCGCCGCCCTCCGTCAGTCAGGCTGATGTGGAGATAAGTCGAGTGTAACAAAGGGCAGGTTACAGCCCGTCTATCTGGTAATGACGGGGTGTGTGTGTGTGTGTGTGTGTGTGTGTGTGTGTGCAGGGATCAGATGGTGTTTTGTTGTGTGGTGACCTCTCAGGGTCCTCTGTAGAGCGTCACAGAAACACCTGGCCTGCTGAATAATTGAGAGCGAGAACTTCAGAGGTTTTTAAAGACGGCAGCTCCGCTCCAGAGTCCGGTTCAGGTTTTTAGGAGGAGCGTCAGGTCCTGCAGAGCTGAGATCTAAAGAGCTGAAGCTAAAATAATTGATCACTAATAAGGATCTTATTTTGATCTGAGTCAAATCACCGTCACGCTGTTCCCCTGAACTCCCGCTGTTCTGCTTTAAATACACCTCCTCTTCTTCCTCCTCTTCCTCCTCTTCCTCCTTCTCCTCCTCCTCCTCTTCTTCTTCCTCCTGTCATCTCTTCTGAGAAATGTCAGCTCTAGCTTTCCACATGCTTTGGCGCTCTAGCCTTTTCTCCCAGCATGCCGTGCTCTATTGCCTGCGTCTCAAAGAGAAAGTAGCTGGTGGTGGCGCCCCCTCTCTGCGCATGGTGGCATCACAGAGTGGGGGCTGTTTGGACCCGGGAAATGGCTCTGTTAGCTAACATCAAGGCTGTGTTGATGTGCTTGATTTATAACCTGCACAAATCCATCCTCTGGACTGTCTGCATGATTTCTGTAGAGCATGGTTCAGAGTCACCGAACGGCAGGACCTGTTTTACTCTGAAAATGTTCCAAACTGTGGCGTATGTAAGGCCGCAGTGACCGCGGCGTGACCTGCTTCGACTGAGAGCGGACGCCGTCACTCAGAGGGGGCTGCTCCGACGGAGAAACCAGCCTCCTGTCACTCCAACTGTTGTCATGTTGACTCTTTCTGATTTCACAGGAAGCTCCCAGCGGCGGCGGCGGATCGGACTGTCATCTCTCTTCTTCTGTCATTCCTCACGTCTGTCTGTCTGTCTGTCTGTCTGTTTGTCTCCATTCTTCTCTCTTCTTCCACCTCTCCTAATCCACGGTAATCGAGGTTGGCTTGTTGGTACACCTGCTCCGTTAATTCCAGTCCCTCCCTCCTCTTGTGAAACAGCTGCTTTTCCTCAGCGCCTCTAAATTTGTTTATTAAGCGCTCCACATCAAGGTCCATTATTCTGATTTTACTCCCACTATAATTACCACTTATTAACAGTCCACCTGCTCTGCAGCTCCCCTCTGAGAGTGGAGGTGGAGAGTTAATGCATTACCTCTCTCTGCACCCACACACCTGTACGCCCCCCACAGACTGAGGTGTCTGTGGGGTCGACGAACGTCAGACTCGACATCTCTGTCATCATCATGTTAGAGTGAATGTTCACGCTTTAAACTTTTCCAGATGTTTCCGTGTTGAAGGGAGTTTCTCTTTCTTTGAGCGAGGTTGTACGAGGAACTGGTTCACAAGTATTAATGCCGTAAATTTATCACGATAAGATGTGCCATTCTAGCGATAACGATAAAAGTCACGATCAAAAAATATTATAATTCTAATCTATATTTTTGACTCATCTTTTCTTCACCAGTTGCAGAAGTCAAATAAAATACTGAACCACAAGTTTAGTGGTCGGTTATGGAGAAAACTAATGACATCAAACAAGTCTGAAACCCCGGTCTTGAAGGAAATCCCTCATGTGGATCCTCGTTCACTAACGACCTACTCAGAAACGTTTTCTTCGTCACCTTCGGCCATCTTTGTTTGTTATTCTGCTCTGTGTGGGCTACGGCTGTGAGTCCGTCATCAACTTGCATTTATCTAATTTATCATGAGAAGGTAAATATTGATCATGGAGGATTTTTCTGATGATAAATCGTGAACGATAATTTATCGTATGGAGAACTTGGACCGAAGTTTGATGATCGATAACCACAGATGGGGCCAAAGACTCCGTCATTTTAAGAAACGTCACTGTCCAGAGCTGGAGTTTTCGTAAGGTTTCAGTTTCGATTATTAATATTTCAAATCTGATTATCAATACGAAATCAATATATAATCAATACCACACGACATCGCACCGCCTGCTGAAAGCAGGGAGAGGCAGAAATATGTAAATGTGTCTGAAAAGCAAAAGGGACAGAGAGGATGACGAGTTAATGAGTGTGAAGATTTTCTGGGATAAAGAGTGACATCGTTCTTTATCATATTAATATACAATCGTATCCCATCATTGATTAGGATTGGATCATATCGATCTTTATTGATCCTTTGTTCTCAGTATGGGCTCTGTTGGAGGACCTCAGGGTTTCTTCGTGACGCTGCAGCAGCAGCTCAGTCCTGACTCTCCTGTTTTCGAGCCTCCAGTCTGAATTCAGAAACGTCCGAGTCAGACCCGTCTTGTCCGAGTCAGACCCGTCTTGACTTCACCCTGAAGCGGGTCTTTCTCCTGAAAACTCACCGTCTTCTTTGTACCTGCCAAAGTGACGGTGACCCCGGGGCCACCACATCACACAGAGAGGCATGAAGGTCCTGATCCATTTTTAATGCATTTGTCTGGACGCCCTTCCCCCTCTCCTGCACACGCTCAGTCCTGTCCCTCTGTAGAGTCTCTCCTCTGATCCCTGCAGTGGTGTGGTGGTGCTCCAGTGCACCTCTGTCCTCGGACACCCACCTGCTCTGAGGATGAGAGACGTGTCGATGTAAAGACAGAGAAGGAAGGATTCCTGGTTTCAAAGACGACACCGTCCTCGTGACTTCAGAGGACAGACGCTGCTCCAGTGTGAGCGTTTCCACTTTAAAGCTGAAAAACACAAACCTGTCGTCTCGTTTTCAGTTCTTTTATCATCCGCTCGGTGTTATCAGGACGTCTGCAGCTGCAGTGTTGGACCGGCTCACAGATCCAATCAGTTACAGAGCACTGCAGTCCTTACAGTGGTGTCAGAGGGGGCCAAGTCTGTGCTGCATTCAGCTCCTAGGCCAAGTGTTCGGCCACACAAAGTGCTGAGAGAGCAGAGAGGAGGAGGAGGAGGAGGAGGAGGAGGAGGAGGAGGAGGACAGCTGGGCCGCAGCTTTATTTATGAAATGGTTTCTGCATTACGGCTCTCTCCACTCCTGCTGTTCTGGGCTGTGATTGGTCAAAGACTGCGTGTGCGATGGTTGATGGATGAACCTTTAAAGTCTTTATAATCAGAATAAAACGTGAACAAAGCGAGTGTTTGAGTTTGGAAATGTCAGCGCTGTAGTGCGAGTTTATCGCGGCTCAGAGAGAGAGTTATATTCGTCACCTCAGCTGTTGTCTTTTATCGTGACATCAGGACGCTGGAGGTCAGAGCGAACGTGCGCCTGTTCATCAGTGAAGCTGTGGGATAAATAAGTGATGAGAGCAACAGCGCCGCACGCTCGATTTGATCCTGTAACGTCTTGATCGAGGCCGATACATGAAAGATTTATCAGCTCCAGCAGAGAAGACTTTGGTGACGGGTTTGGAAATGAATTTGGAGACATTTTCATGCAGTCCAAGTTTGTGGGCCTGTGATGTGCTTCGAAAGTGTTTCCTCGCCACTCATGTGAAATGAGCAGAAAGTGATTCAGCCTCTTTGCATGCGAGCCTCCGGCTTTACTTCGCTTCTGTGAGCCGGGTTTGTTCAGAGACCGGCTTCTTGACTTGAGTCCAGGGCAGCTCTGAGGGCGGCTCTGCAGCCCGGTCTACACGAGAGATTAGACCCGACTGAACCCTGAACCCCGCCGAGCGTGTCCATGACAGCAGAGGGTTGGACCGCCAGCAGCTCTGTCAGCGCGGCGTTTCTGCATCAGCTCACAGGACAGTGATGTGGACGGGGTCGCGGTGAAGCTGACACACACAGACGTGACGAGCGCGCTCAGACGTGTTAACAGTTGGCCGTTAACGAACTCAGCGCTGCAGGAATGAAGACCACGGGCCGATAAAGATCAGAGCAGAGAGAGAGAGAGAGAGCCCTCTGTAAATATGGAAGTTTATTAAAAAGTTAATTAACGACTTAGTTTCCAAAAACTGTGGATGTAAAAAGTGAGATCAGAGCAGAGAGGAGTCGCTCCACTTCAGCAGACTTTACTCCAGTCTCCCACAGAGGCAGACTGATCCTGAGAGTCGAGTTCACGTAAGTGGATCCAGGTGAGCGCTGAGGGTCAGAGCGGCACCTGTGGAGCCAAATGAACTGTTCGACTTTTCCACAGTTTAGAATCGAACAACAGGGGAGTCCAACAGAGTCATGGTGGGTTACAGTTGGAGGAAGAAGAAGAAGAAGAAGAAGAAGAGCATGATGGGAGGAAAAATTTCACCTGAAGGCAGTTTGATGGAGTTTTAGTTTGAGGTTTCACAGTCGAGTATTAAAAGTTTCTGAAAACATGAAGTGGGAGAGCGCAGACTTATCTGAGGTCTGAGTTATTTCTACATGTACGAATAACAAGACCTCCGAAAATACATTAAAACTCTGAATCACTCCAGGAATAAAACAAACTAAAGACACGATGAACTTCGACAGGTTTTCCTGTAAACTTGCACTAAAGTCGAGCAAACGTGAACGAAATGATTCCTCGCCATCTTGTGAAAATCAGTCGCCATGTTGAAGTTCAGACTGCGTCATCAGCCTCAAAAAAACCTCGGTCTCTGCTGTTTACACAAACTCAGACCATTTCCCCAAACTTCAGTGACTGAAACTCAGATTTCAAAGATTTCCAACATGAAGCTGCGTCCATGTCCATGAAAACTTCCTCTCACTTCTCCGTCACTTTAAAACTCTGAAATATTTGTTTTGATTTGGGGTTTTAGCTCCAATTGAACCTTTTTATATTTGCATTTTTAAACTCCAGGGGGGTGTCCGCTTATTCCAGACTCGTACCGCATTCGTTAGCCGTTAAATCGCCGCTGTTACACCACGAAGTAAACAATGTCAGCGGGAGGCCGATGCATTTTCTAGAGACTGAAAGATGGAGGATCAGAGAGAAGATGGGACGTAATCTCACAGAAGAGGCTCAAAATCTGCAGAAGATGTTTTAAATCCACACGAGAACAACAGCACAGCTTGGTGTGTGTGTGTGTGTGTGTGTCCGTGTGTGTGTGTGTGTGTGTGTGTGTGTGTGTGTGTCTGCAGAGTCACGTCCTGCTTTTTCTGAGAGATCTACTTTATGATAGCAGATCGTTTTTCTGAGGCTGACAGCTCAGCAGAGATTCTTAAAGGCGGATTTTTCCCTCCGACTTCACAGCGAGCTCACGGCTCAGTTCTTGGCGGTTCTGGTCCGATCTTCACACACAGAGACCGTCTTGTCTCTCCTCTCTGTGGTTCTGCAGGGCCGTCTGTGACCTTGACTCAGGCTGCTGAAAAAGTGACTTATTAGTCCTAATGTGCTCTGTGCCTCTGCTCTGATCATTATAATGAGGCTCCGTGTGGTTATGTCTCTCCAGTGTGTAGTTGTGTATCTGACAGAGAGTGTGTAGTTGTGTATCTGACAGAGAGTGTGTAGTTGTGTATCTGACAGAGAGTGTGTAGTTGTGTATCTGACAGAGAGTGTGTAGTTGTGTTCATGCCCGTTGTAATGAAGTCTCTGTTCTGTTTTGTGGACCAGAATCACGACTCTGGATCTCTTTGACGGTGGCCAACACTGACCTCTTTTACTCCATCCATCTCTCTGTTCTCTCTCTCCTTCTCTCTCTCTCTCTCTCTCTCTCTCTCTCTCTCTCTTTCTTCTCTTGTTTGTTTTTTTACCTTCACACACACCTGAACATGTTTGACTCTTAAAGACCAAAGCTTTCGTTCTTTCTCTTGACTCGGTCACAATACTCTGAAATAACCCTCTCTCTCTCTCTCTCTCTCTCTCTCTCTCTTTCCTCCTCCTCTCTCTCTCCCACTCCCTTCTCCCCTCATATTGTAAATGTAGAGATCATTGTTAATGAGTGTTACCATGGAAACCACTATTTTCTGTATTTGAATCTCTGACGTCCAAAAAATCAGTGAGGAGGGAGTGGGTTCATGAGGGGAAATGTCTGATGATTGGATCATGTGACTCTGATGTTGTTTAAAGGAGGATTCCACCAAGTTTCAGAAGCAAATACGTCTTTCCAGAACAAGAGGGAAATCAGAGACTGTGTAGGAGAGGTGGATGTAACCTGTTGGTTTAAAAGGAGAATTATTCTTGCGTTATTTCTAATGACCAGCAGGGGGCGATACCTCTCATCCCGAAAATTTGAAGAGGGTCGGAAAGTTACGCATTTTATACCAGCCAGAATAATAAATCAGGTTTTTGTGTTACACACGTTTGTTTGAAAGACATAAAGACGCAGAAAAATCAAAACTATGTTTTAGTTTTTTTGATTGACGCCTGAAAAAACTTCCCAGTTTTTCTTAAAGTGAACAGAATTTAATTATGTAAGTATTAAGTTGCCAAAACCAACTTTGATTTATTGATTATTTTACACAAAATATTCCGATATGGGCAAAATGACGTCGGTTATTGTCATAAATTTCGGCATCAGTAAATTATCAGTTTATCGCCCGGCCCTACAAAGAAGTAAAGGTAGTTAATAGTTCAGTTTACTTCAGCTGTTAGCATCACACCCTCCTGCTGCACAGAGCTGCGCTCTCATCCTGACATGTGTGATGAGCTGGAGGAAAAACCTTTACTGGTTTTTAAGGAGTCAGTGTCCGCTCTGTGGTCAAACTGGGGGAATAATCACGGTCCCATTTAGGAGAAAACTAACCTAAAAAGCAGGACTTAGTTGAAGACGTCGCTTCCTCTCTTAAAGATGTTAAAGCTGTTTTTCAGATACGGTTCAAACTTACATCCACGTCTTTTACCCAGCGTCTCTGATAGAGACTGAAAAAGGAGACAGTGTGTGTAATCAGAGTGAAATTGTCCTCGCCACTCATGATTCAACATTTCTGTCCCGCACAGAGCCGTCTCTGATTATTCAGCGTTAGCAGGCGGCGATCGTGCGTGCTAACGCTAATTACAGACGTGGAGACGGGAGGACATGTTTGAATTCTGAGCTTGAGTGGAATCCCCCAATTATCTTGTTTGGAGCAAGATGTTTTCCTGTGTGTGTGTGTGTGTGTGTGTGTGTGTGTGTGTGTAATGATATGAATGCACTTGTTTTTGTCGTTGTTGTTGAAGGCCCTGCTAAAGACAGCAGAGGCCGTGCCGCTCTCTAACGGTTATTTCTCCTCCTTCCTCCTCTGAATTGGACCTCTTACAGACGGAGGTAACTCCACACGGGCTCAGCGTGGCCCCGCCCCCCCACGCCCCCCACCCCCTCACCTCCCCCCCTCCCTGCTAAGGCATGCTCTGTCTCTGTCTACTGTTTGGTGGACACTGTTTTCAAGTCCTTCTTTACCAGATGTGTAGTGTGCATGAGATGTAGTGTCTGCTGTTCTCATGCAGTGCTGTGAGTATACACATGCTGACTCTGTTAACTCTGTGTGTGTGTGTGTGTTTCTCTGTGTGTGTGTGTGTTTCTGTGTGTGTGTGAAAGCTGCAGTGTCTCGATGATCAACATGTTTGGGTTGTGTTACAGATCACGTTAATCAATAAGTGTGTGTCTGTGCTGAGATTTCCTCTCTTTGTGTAACGTTCTCACTGTGAGTACAGCCTCTTGTGGATGGTGTTCTGTACTCTGACCTCTGACCTCTGACTAATCGTTCCTCACTTCACTCTCACCCGCCTGTACGGCCTCATGTGTATGCAGCATCTGCATGAGTGTAACCGTGACCTCCTCCATCCTCATCGTCATGACTGTAAACCAACCGTCAGTGTGTGTGTGTGTCTGTCTGTGTGTGTGTGTGTGTGTCAGTTTGGTTTGTGTGTTTGAGCTTCACTCTCAGACACTCATACACACCTGCTCACACACACACACACACACGCTCACACACACACACCTGCAGAGTGTTTGAAGTGTTTGTATTCAGACGTGTTTCCGTCTCTGTGAGCAGAAGATCGCCCAGGAGAGAGAGAAGTTTGCAGATGAGGACAGTATCTTCTACACGCTGGGAGAGTGTGGCCTCATCTCCTTCTCCGACTACATCTTCCTCACCACCGTGCTCTCCAGTAAGTACATCCCGTTTCATCGCTCACCTGTGAGGAGACTTGGCTGGTCCTGTGAGTGACGGAGAGAAGACGTTAGTTTCTGTCTTCAGATGTTTTTAGACCGTCTAAAATCCTCCTTCTTCAGCCGGTATGAGAGTCACCTTTTCCGTCACCTTACCCGTCTTTGTTCTCGTGTTTTCGCTCAGTGATGTTCCTCTTACCGTATCCGGAACGGCAGCGTTTTTCGCCAATTCCTGCCGAATCTGTTTGTGAGGCAAATTTCGTGGCGGATTATGGACATCGGGAATCACAAGAACTCACAAGAACCCGCAGATTCACGTTCAATCTCACGATAACGAGTTGTCTCTCTAAAGACAGACACATAGACATATAAGCAGTAGATTGTGTCCTTCCAGAGGAGGAAATCTACTTCTAGACTTCTAGAATCAGCATCTCCTCATCCATGGTGTCATCGGGGTGAAATGACGTCTAAAAACCTTTCACTTGTTCGTCGTTCGTGTTTTATTTTGAAAAGAAGCCGGATGTTTTATTTTGTGTCTGTGCCCGACTTCCTTTCCAGCACGGGTTAATCTGTGCTGAATTTATCCGCCATGCTCCGGCGTCCAGAAAAAATAGAACTCTTGCGATCAGGAAAGAAGCCGGTGGAGCCGTTCAGGATGCGGTGGAAATTGGGGATTCGGTGTGATGGTCTCCTAAGGTGTACCGACTCAAAGATAAGGGTCACATGTGTGCGCTTATTTGTGTAACATCAGACCTGAAGAGGCGTTTCCTCGTGTCTGTCCTCTTGATTCGTTTCCTTCTCTCCTCATCACGCGGCGCTCTTTAAGCTGCAGTGACCTTATGTTGATGTGACCTGACGCCGCCGCCATTGTTTACTCCTGATTATTCTGTGGAGTCCAGCGACTCCAGAAGCTGGTGGAAATCGACACGTTAACTTGAATGGTTACAATCAGCTATTGTTCGTAGCTCTTCTGTATGTGGTGAAAATTGGGGGTTATCCGCTGAAATTCGTTAAAGGCGTGTGGCGTTTAAAGGATCTCCCGCGTGTGTTCAGCAGGTGGAGCTGCTGCCTGCCTCCTCCTCGGTATGATCTGCAGCTCCGTCAGAGTTGATGAGGAGTGTTTATCGAGCTCCTCGCCTCGGGGCGGTTTGTTCTCCACAGACTCAGTTTGTCTGAGCTGGATCTGACATTTACGCTGCAGATTCAGGACGTCGATGATCACATGACCGCCTCGATCTGAAGGCGTCCGAGTTTGTGGTCATAAAAATGAAGCTCTGTAGTAAACGTTCATCCCCAGCTGAGCTCCAGCGTTTACTCTCATCCATTCATAAGGGGAGTCTCTGGGGAAGTTTTCAAGGTCAAGCTATTTATAAGCGGCGCGGCGAGGGCGCGCCATGGTTGGTTTGAGTCCATTTAGCGTAGCTTTAAAACGAGCGGCCTCACTGTTGTACACATTCACTGAATTTGTCCAGTCTGAGCCTCAGTCAGGTAATCTAATCTGTGAGATTCACTCAAACTCGGTCTGTTCCCGGCTGCTGTGTGTGCAGCTGTCAGGCCGCCTGATTGGCTGAGGAAAACCTCCCGTGTGGCTCAGGGAGAGCTGCAGACGAATAATGAGAGCGGCTCTCTTGCATCGTTGTCAGAGCCGATCCTGTAACATGTTCCCCACATATTGATTCCTGATTTTGTGTTTTTGTGTCCAGCTCCCCAGAGGAACTTTGAGATCGCCTTCAAGATGTTTGATCTGAACGGAGACGGAGAGGTGGATCTGGAGGAGTTTGAGCAGGTAATGAAGGACGAACGAGGTTAAAAAAACAGCA